GCAGGCATCTGAACGACGAAGCGGTAACTTTGTCAAAATAAACCCAGGTATACCCATTTTCATGTTCAGTCCTTACTCCCCTTTTTGGGCCGTGATTCTTATGTCACGGTCCAATCTCGAGGGTAGTGCCTAATTGCACCCCTTTAACACTAGTTGAGTCACGGGCTGGGCTTCTTGTGGCGCCAGCCCTCCCACACGTTGGTGGYGCMTAAAATGACCATCCAACAGGATGCTAGGTTCAACCTCCYTTTTTCCTGAAAGCACGAGGGGCAACTGCTCTCAGCTTCTAGACACCCTACCCTCTAGRAAGTGGTCTGGAATACCCCTCCCCCTCGCYCRAACACATTGTTCAGKACTCAGAAGTTGGGYTGGCTTCACMKCAACAGCATGGTATCCCCCCGCATAAGCGGTCCGCTCCGAGTCGATAACAGGRMCGGCCCCTAAGGCAACGAACCCCCGCCTCGGATRCCTCCTAGAGAGAAGAAGCCTAGACTCTAGGTGCAGACGACCGCTCTRTGCCTTCCCGGCTAAGGGTCGACTTAGACGAATTGAGAAGAGAAMGAAGTAAAATATTTTGGATGGGCATAGAAGGAAAGTCGTCGTTCGGGATATAATGCAAAGGTCCTTGGGAAGATACTAAAGTGTTCCMTTGTCTTCTTTTCTTTTAATTTTCCCACGGCCTTCRTTCTTTCGGCACCCGCCCGTTCGCACTTCCATCATTATTTTTACCCCTCCTCTGTTMTGTCACATGCAYTCAGGTTGAGTGGGAGAGCGGTAAGCATCCCCATTATTATCTCGAGCAACCAATGCTRATTCCTTCTCACACGCAYCTCCCATCCTACCTGCACARTCAAGAAAAWAAACAATCCAGGGATTCATCCATCCCCAAACAAGTCAGCCCTTTCTTCAMAYGCATGACATCACACTCTTACTCTACCTCTTCCCCTGAATTCAAAGCAAGGTCATGCAAGGTGTGGGTTCACGMGGGCGTGCAAAGGAACTKAGTCGCACTGACCTTGASTGATTTTTATGAGGGYTCCCTCAAGAAAGYCAAATGTCTTCACAAAAGTTCGACCGCACAACTCTCGTTGTGGCCGCTCACAAGGATGGACCACACCTTCCTTCAGGCGTCACCACTAACTCAAACGCCGCTCACTAACACAGAAGCGGCTCGCCGTTGAGGAGAGTGTCCCACTCTCAAATCCCACAGCCTCAACGTCACACCTTCCACTAAAACRACSMCGATTCAACTCACCAAATACTAGGTCAGGCCACCACCTKCCTGCCGCAATACCTGGTKGTCCCGGACCCAATCCCCGCTTACTCGGTATGCCGCAAAATAACAACGGCCTCAACAATKCTTASAAGTGYCGCGTGCGGTAACGCCTTCAACGAGACGATCGCCACACCCTTTCTATTCCAAGATGCACTTCCACCTCGGCGGTACCGTCCCTGCGGCAACGTCCAACCCC